ATTTTCCAAATCTTGCACAATCTATTCGAAATAATAAGAACGGTAACCCAAGAAAATACTAATTCATATAAATGCACATTAATCCTTCCATATAATAATTTAGTTAAATTATAATATCAATCAAAGCAATAAAGAACTTCCCCAAACACTGCCAGAGAAGTTGTCATGGCGTCGCTGAAGAGCAATTTGGAAAATTAACTACTCACAAATCGACATTCTTGCTCAAATTGCGTCCCACATTTTTTTCCAAGAAAAATTGAGGAATTTTCTAGACGAAATTGATGTGAGAAAATTCGTTTTTTCTATTTTCGCGCACTTTTCTTCTTTTTCATTCTTTCGTTGTGTCGCTTCCCTCTTTCTGCGTCTATTTTGTTTGTTCTTTTCCTCTGCCCTCTCATTCTCTGTGTCGGTTCTATTTGTCTGACTTTTTGTTTCTTTAGAGCAAAAATCATTTTTAGTCCTATTCAATATCATAATTTTCAATTTTGGTCCCATTGATTTTTATATTATTATTAATTTTGGTTTCACTTAAATGAAAATTTATCAATTTTAGTCTCATGATGGTTGACTGGGACTGAGAACACGGCCGTGTTAGATGACTCAGAAGGGTGACTGAGTGTCCCACACAACCAACACTACCGTGTTGATTACCCTGCACTGAAGTTTATGCAATCAAATAAATTGTTTATTTGGCATGATCGGCTCGGGCATCCTAGAAATACCATAATGAGGCAAATAATCGAAAACTCCAATGACCATTCATTGAAAGATCGAAAGATCTTGAATTCGAATGAATTCGTGTGTGTTGCATGCTCACAGACAAATTGATAATCAGGCCATCACCAACCAAAGTTGGGGCTGAATCCCCATCATTTCTAGAAAGAACTCAGAATGATATATCTAGACCTGTAGATCCATCATGTGATCATGTGGGCCATTTAAATATTTCATGGTGCTCATTGATGCATCAACGAGATGGTCACAAATATGCTTGATATCTACGCGTAATATAGCATTTGCAAGGTTACTTGCACAAATAATTAAATTGCGAGCATAATTTTCTGATTATCCAATAAAGAAAATTTGTTTCGATAATGCTAGTGAATATTCATCACAAGCATTTGACGGTTATTGCATGACTTTGGTAATAATTGTTGAACATCATGTTCTTTATGTTTATATCCAAAAAGGTCTGACAGAATCCTTTATCAAAATACTATAATTAATTTCTAGACCACTTTTTATGAAATCCAAACTCCCCGTCTCTGCCTGGGGACATGCAATATTACATGCAACAAAACTTATGTGAATTAGACCAACAAGTTATCACAAATACTCCCAACACAATTAGTGTTTGGAAAATAGCTCAATATTTCTCATTTGAGGATTTTTGGATGTGCAGTTTACGTGTTGATTGCACTACCTCAACGTACAAAAATGGGTCCCAAACGTCGTTTTGGAATTTATGTCATGTACGAATCTCCGTCGATAATTAAATACCTAGAACCACTGACGGATGATCTATTTATTGTGCGGAGACTGTCATTTTGACGAACCAAATTTCCCGATATTAGAGGAGAATAAAATAAACTGATAAAGGGAATTTCTTGGAAAATACCTATGGATTTCCTAGATCCTCGTTCACAACAGTGTGAATTAAAAGTACAAATAATTGTACACTTGCAACAAATTGCAAATCGTTTAGTGGATGCATTTAATAACTCTAGTAAGGTCACCAGGTCTTATATGCATGTAGCAAATGCACCGGAAAAAATTAAATGTGCCAAAAGGACAAATGAAAATTGCCAATGAATTTTTTTCACGCCTGAAGCGTGACAGACCTGTAGATTCCAATGATAAGAATCCCCGAAAGAAAATGGTGTTGATTAATGATTCAATCCCTTAAACAACTTGTAGTAACAAAGAACAAATTTTTAAAGAGAATGCTTTTGAAGAGCCTACCTCAAAAGAAAATGAAGTTATCGAGAATTCAATTAACTTCATCAATACAAAAGAAAAGTTGGAAGCGCAATGAAATAGTTATTGATAGTGAATTTGCATATAGCATGTCACTTGATATAATATAAAGTGACGAGGATCTCAAACCAACATCAATTGATGAATGTCGGAAAAGAAACGATTGACTAAAACGGAAAGATGCGATCCAATCTAAATTAGACTCACTGGCCAAAAAACTATCTTTGGACCTATATTCAAATACCGGAAGGTGTTAAGCCAGTTGAGTGCAAATGAATATTTGTTAGAAAAAGAAATGAAGATAATGAAATTGTCCGATACAAAGCGAGGCTCGTAGCTCAAGGATTCTCACAAAGACCTGTGATTGATTATGATGAAACATATTCCCCAGTTATAAATGGTATCACATTTAGATACCTCGTATGCCTAGCAGTGAATGAAAAACTTGATATGTGTCTTATAGACGTAGTCACTGCTTACTTGTATGACACACTGGAGAATAATATTTATATGAAAATCCTTGAAGATATGACATTCCTGAAAAATGCAAATCAAAACCCCAAATGTTATTCCATCAAAGCACAAAAGTCTTTGTGTGGACTTAAACAATTTGAACGCATGTGGTATAACCGCTTCACTAAGAGTCCAACCAAAGAAGATTACACTAACGACCCAATATGTCCATGTGTTTTTATAAAGAAAAATAGGTCCAAATTTGTGATCATTGCAATATATGTTGATAATCTCAATATTATCGGGAATCCTGGAGAGCTCCAATCTGCAGTAGAATATCTGAAAAAAAAAAATTGAGAAACTTTGGAAAGACAAAGTTTTGTCTTACTCTGCAAATTGAATATATGGATAATAAAATATTCATCCACCAAACTGATATACCCAGAAGATATTGAAGAAATTTTATATAGATAAAATACATTCATTGAGTACCCCAAAAGAAGATGATGAAGAGATACTTGGTCCTGAAATATTGTATCTCAGTGTAATAGGTGCACTTATATACCTAGGAAATAGCACAATGTCAGATATTGCATTTGCAGTAAATCTATTGGCTAGATTTAGTTCATTTCCTACAAAACGACATTGGAATGGGGTTAAGCATGTTTTGCGCTATCTTCGAGGGACGGGTGATCTTGGCCTATTTTATCCAAATAATTCTCGACACAAGTTATTAGGCTATGTTGATGCTGGATATTTGTCTGACCCCGAGAAAGAAAAATCGCAAACCGGTTATATATTTACATGTGGTGATGCTATAATTTCCTAGAAATCCACAAAACAGACAATAACTGTCACATCATCAAATCATGCCTAAGTATTGGCTATTCATAAAGTCAGTCGAGAGTGTGTATGGCTAAGATCAATGATCCGTCATATTAAAAGAAATTGTGGGTTAATATATGAAAATAAAAATCCCCCAAACCTGTATTGCTCAGTTAAAGGGCAGATATATTAAAAGAGATAGAACAAGACATATTTTACCAAAAATCTTCTTTTTTCACGAGCTTCAAAAGAATGGTGAGATTGATGTGCAACAAATCCGATCATCTGATAATTTTGCAGATTTATTAACCAAGACTCTGCCAACAACAACATTCAACAAATTGATGAAAGGAATCGGAATGTATCGGCTTAAAAATCTCAGATAAAGTCCAAATCAGGGGGAGAAAATCAAAATAAGAATATTGTACTCTTTTTTCTTCACTAGAATTTTTTTTTTCAACAGAATTTTTTTCGAATAAAATTTTAACGAGACACATTCTTTATAAAATGATACAAAGGAGAGCGTTATACACGTAGTATACATATGCATGAAATGTGGATGTAAGACTGTAGTTACACATATTATCGATGCGATACAATAGTGTATCATTTATAGATATGCACTAGTGGAACAAAACTCACCTCATCAATAATTTTCTCTCTCAATTTCTCTATTGTATATGTAGTTAATACTATCTAATACACGTACATACATACACGTAATAATTACATATAATCATTACTCACATCCACACATCCTACGTAATATATATTCATAATCATATATTCCCTTCACCCACATACAAAGTATACATTTACTTTTGGTGCGGTGTTTAAGAAATAATAGTATTTTAATTATAGTGGGTAGTTAAAAGTAATGTAATGACATTTTTGCCCTTAATTTTTGGTGTAAAAGTAATGATGTGATGTAAAGTAAATGTGTTTGTGAAAAAGAGTGAAATATTTAATGAAATATTTTTTTTGTAATTGGACGTCCCAAAATAGAAATATATATACCACTACAAGAAATTATCAATTTTGTAACGAGATTTTTTTGTTCCTAAATTCACTTTTTCCGTTACTAATTATATTAGAGACGGAATTAGAGATGAAATTATCGTTAGATACGTAAACTTTAGGAACGGAATTCCGTTACAAATATACTATTTTTTTTGTAATGTACTATCTAGATGGACGAAGGAAGTATATAGCAACACACAACAATATATATAGGTATATTATATTATATATATACACACGTAATAGTGATTAACAATAAAGATAATTAATATTTTTATTTGTTATTCCAATATTAATATTTTTAAAAGAATGAGTAGTTTAAAAAAAAAAAAAACACTAAACTAGGCATATATATATTCTATATATATATATATATTGTTGAAAGTAAATGTTCTATTAAATGATGCTAACATTATATTCAAGTATCTATATAATTTAATTATTTTTAGTATAACATATTGTCTAAACTGACATAAAATTTTATTAAACTATATCAATACTTTTTGTTCAACAAAACCAAAACAAAATGTTGAAACAAAAGTATACTTTAGAAATCAACGTAGACATACATACATTGCACGCTACATCAAATTAAATTGCATTAAAAATTACACTTTGCCCAAGCTTTACTTGACAATTGACGTGCACCCTTCTTTTACAAGCCAAGAGGCAGCCTGGTGGCCTCTTCATCGACCAAATCAACATATTTAATTATCTACTTTGGGTGAAATTAAAATCAATATATATATATAGATAACAATATATACACCATAACATAACAGCAGCAAATAAAATTTTGTAGGGCTAAAATGAATTATAAGTAAGGAAGCATAATAATAATGAATAAAAGTGTTCTAGTGCAAGAAGAAGAGGGCTGTGTAGAAGAGCTGGTTCCAGGTGTCGGGCAAGCCGGGCAGGCACCAGTGGCTGCAGTCGGCGGAGTGGTCAGGCTTGGCTCGCTGCTCGGGGGTGAGGTCGCCGCTGTAGATGGAGGGGTGGGCGTCTTTGCGCATCTCCGACAGCATTGTGATGTCCAGTAGGAAGGGGGCTGGCGGGTTCATGGAACTCAGCACGGCCTCCACCACTTTCATCTGGTCCGGGTACATATACGTGCCCGATGTGCCCGTGCCCATCATCGGCATCGGCATTGTTTCCCCGTAGCAGCTCTTGGAGTTGGAGGACATTGCTGCCGCCCTCGATATAGCTCCAGAGTTCCACTCGCTTGGACTGCGCATGCAACCAGCAATTTAGCATTTATATAGCACAATCTAATGTGATGTGCAGTTTACGGCGACTGTGCTGAATAGCACATCGTGTGCTAACGGACAACACACAGTATTATCACAGACAACACACAATATACGTTAATATAATACAAATACAGCACATGACTTAGCAACAAATGATATATAGCATAATATGATGTGATATGCAGTTTATGGCGGTGGCTACAGTGCTGAATTTTAAATTCAGCATTGTGCTGAATAACATACCGTGTGCTAACGCACAATATTATCACAGACATTAAACAGTGTATGTGTTTACTTTGTATGATTAGAGTAGATAATATTATTTTATCTGCCCTAATCTTATGGTTACTATCCTTTACTAGAGCCCGTAGTTAAGTAAAGTCGGGCATACTAGTAGCATAACTAGAGATTATTAATCCTCTTCTTTTAGGTATGATTAAATAATACAAGGTAGTATTATTGTTAAAAAAGACTATTTTATCTTTATTAATAGTTAATTTAGTATTACTTTTATTATATAATTAAGGGTATTTTAGGAAAAATTTATAATCTTATACAATAATCCATCAAAGAAAACATAGTATTATTTTATCCTAGATTATATAATTTATTAAAATAATACTATGTATTATAATCTTATATCGTCTTAGACTTAACAACAAATGATATAATATCACACAGTATATACAATAATTAATTTTAACACATGACATAATCTCGTACAATACACTCCGTAATTATGAACAAACACACATGCTTTTATTATAAATAGCACATATTGTATGTAATAAAGACAGATGCTGCGAACTAATTTTCTAAATTCAACCCCGTAATCCTCTCCGGAGTTTATATATACTTATTATTGGGCTCTGAAAATCAATAATATATACTCCCTCCGTTCCAATACAATAGTCTTGTTTACCATTTTTGTCTGTCCAAAAACAATAGTCTTATTTCCATAAATAATCATGTCACCATAAAACTACCCATACTTTTTCATTTTTATTACACAATTACCACTATATTTTATCTATATTTTTTACCAACTATTAATATAATATCAATATTTCTTAAATCTCATGCCTAATCCAAATAAAACTATAGTTATGAAACGGAGGAAGTAAGTTGTATATTACAATTAGGTGTGTCAAAAGTAAACCCGATTCGAAAAACTGAATCAGTTCGACCTGAAATTTTTCAAGTTCGGGTTTGGGTATTTCGGGTTTGAAAAAAATCAGGTCGACCCAAACCTGAAACGAAAAAAATTTGTGTCGTGTTCGGGTCGAGTTTCGGGTTGACCTGATAACCTGAAATATCAAAATCAGATTAGGTTTTGAGTTTCGTGTTTCGGGTTGACCTGAAATTTTTTATTATTATTATTTTAATTTATAATATTTATATTATTTTAAATATAAAATAATATAAAAATAAAAATAAAAATGATATTTTTTAGGTCAATTTAATTTTTTTTTAAATTTTCGCGTCTGTTTCGTGTTGTGTTCATATCGGGTTTGTTTGGGTTTCGGGTAACTTGAAACTAGTTCAGGTCAACTTGAACCCGACCTGAAAAAATTCGTGTCGTGTTCGGGTCTAGGGTTTCAGGTCAGATTTCGGGTTCGGGTTGACAGTTTTTTTGTTATCCTCGTAGCTCAATCTGACACGAACACGACCAAAAAAACGATTTGACACCCCTAATTACAATTAACTTCACCATATTTCCAGAGTAGTAAAAACAACTGTTCTTTTCATCAAAGCATCACATTAATTTTGTTGATAAAAAACACTATCAAAAAACTAATTCAGCATGTGCATGATCCTTTCTTCAACAATATATATATATATATATCTGTGTGTGTGTGTGTGGTGTGTGCAGGGGGCATAGGAATTAAATGCTGCCGACGATCGAGATAAGATAGACCACAAATTAATTAATGTCACATGCATCTCCAACCTAGCTAATTAACTCCAATAAATAAATAAATAAAATTAACTAGTAACGAGGATTACAATATTAGTCCTTTATTTATAATAAATTATCATTATCATTCTCTATGTTTTCTTTAGTGTGTTTTGATCCTATTATTTATAAGAAAATCTGTATGAATTCATATTCAAAACATTATTATTATTATTATTATTTAAATTATATCTTTTATTTTAAATGTTACATTAAAATAATAATAATAATAATAATAATAATAATAATAATAATAATTCTCTTTTCAACATATCACAGGTGCTATCTATTTATTCCCTTTTGGGGTCCAAAATTGAATTCAATTGAAAGAGGGTTGTTGATCCATAATATACAACTTGTAACAAATTTATTATATATATATATATATATATTTTTGGATAAACCCTCGGTCGAACCTAAAACCCTACAAATCAGACCAACGGGAAAGTCACAGATGACCTGAGGCGTCGGGGATTTGAACCCATGACCTCACGGTCACAAATCCAACCCCTACACTACGAGACCATCCCTTACGGAATAATTTAATTAAGTTCGATGTTGTATGCTCTATCTATTTTACATTAATTGTTTAATCTGAAACGTTGTTATATGCTTAAGGAATAATTTGCTTATTAATTGTTTAACATCACACATACATGGACCACTCAAAACCTCTTTACTTCATCTATTTAGTAAATAAATATTTTTATGGACATTTAAAATTCCATTCTTTTTTATAAAATTAAGTTATCTTAATTATAAATAAATAAATAATTTTTTTATTATTTAAAATTTTATTTTTTACAAAATGATACATATATTTCATATTTTTCTAAATATAATATTTAAACTATTTAAGCACATATTTCAAATTTATTTTAATTATATATATTAATTCTTATTTTAAAATTACTAACTAAACTCTTTATATAAAGATAAAAGGCTAAATTGCACAAAATTTACCCGTGGTTTCATGAAATTGCACCAATCCCCCATACTTCTAAAACTGCGTCAAACTCCCTCGTTGTTTCATAAACTTTGCGTCTAACACCATAAATGGTCCTTATTTAACAGTATTTGATTTAAATGTGCTCAAACTGCGAATAAATTTTAAAATCTCAATTTATAAACCCCTAAAATTATAAATATATATTTTTTATATTTACCCTAAAAAATAGTAAATATGCTCAAAAACAATAATTTTTCTCAGGTTTTAACAGTTTATTTTTACTTTTTTAAAGCTAAATATATATAAAAAAATATATTTGTAATTTTAAGGGTTTAGAAATTGAGATTTTAAAATTTATTGGCAGTTTGAGAACATTTAGGTCAAATACCGTTAAATAAGGACCGTTGAGGGGGTTAGACGTAAAGTTTATGAAACCACGAGGGAGTTTGACGCAGTTTTAAAAGTACGAGTGATTTGGTGCAATTTCATGAAATCACAGGTGAATTTTGTGCAATTTAGCCAAGATAAAATAAAAAAATATCATAACTCACGGTCACTATTAGTAATTAATTAAACTATTTTTCCTTAAATAATGTGTCCCAAATAAAATGAATCATTTCAAATGGAAGGGAGAGAGTACTATTCTATTAGAAAAATATATATTGTTACTGAATAATATTGAAAATTTTTACGAAGAGTGTTGTCTCTAAATCTACTGTTCTCTCAGCTACAGTGATTTTAAATATTGTCTCTGTTTCAATGCAATAGTCTTGTTTACCATTTTTATTCGTCTTAAAACAATAGTCTTATTTTCGTAAATAGTCATATCACCGTAAAATTACCCCTATTTTTTTTATTTTTACTATACAATTGTCATTACTTTTTACGCTAATACACAAGGGCAAAAAAATCTTTTATCTATATTTTTATCAATTATTAATATAATATCAATATTTTTTAAAATATCGTGTCCAACTCAATTAAGAGTATAATTCTGGAACGCTGGGAGAATGTTTTGAGCGCATGAAAATTGCAACCGCAACGGTCTTGATATTAATTACCACATTTTAAATTGAAAACAAATCTCACACATTCATTCAAATATAATTTTAACTAGCCCCTACCGAGGTACCTAAAAAAACAAACCATTTACTTTACATGATTATTTATAATCAGTGAGTCAGGCAGGGCAGACAAAAATCCCAAAATGGGGAGAAGCTAGCGACGGTGGCCTAACAAAACAGGGTAGAATCCACTTGTTCCAAAAAGCTAAAGACAACGAGTAGGGGTGGACAAAAGATTCGTATTAAACCGAACCGTTGAACCGAACTGAACCGAATTGAATTTTCGATTAACCAAATAAATTCGATTCAAATACAAATACTGCATATTTGATATTTGTTCGATTCGATTCAGTTTCGGTTTTTGATATTTTTTTGATTCGGTTTAACCAAACCGAATATATTTATTTATTTATGTTATTATATTTTAGATTTTATATTAAAAATTATATTCGGTTCAGTTATGGTTCGGATATTTAAAATATTTGTAAAGATTTTAATTTAATTAAAATTTAAATTATTTTTTAATTTCGATTCGATTCAAAGTATTTGCAAATATTGAAAATATTTTTGGTTAACCGAAAATTCTATTAACCAAAATTTTCAATTCAAATACGATTCGTGATTTTGAGTATTTATGGATATCAAATATCACCCCTGTCAACAAGCTGGCTGGCAACTACACCCACCCAATAATGCAAATGCAAATGCAAAATGATAAAGCAAACAAACAATTCAAGAAAATGGAAGCAGGAGAGAGAGAGAGAGAGAGAGAGAGAGAGAGAGAGAGAGAGAGAGAGAGAGAGAGAGAGAGAGAGAGCATTGAGTACATACTTGTAATGGGTGGGCGAAGTGCCCTGGAAAAACACCCTGGTTCTGGTAGGGTCAATATTGGCGTCCACCCATCGGCCCCACGTCCTCAGCCCTCTTTCCATGGCCACTAGTCTGTCCATGTCCTCGTACAGATTCCCCCCTGCCTCCATGTACTCCCATCTGATCACAATAACAGTAACAATAGTAATACTATAATTTCAAATTTCGATTGGGAACTGAACTGAATTGTATAGATTACCCCTGGAGGGATCCTTTGTGAGTCCACCAATGGCCGGTGTTGAAGGAGAGGACATCCACTCCGGTCCAGGCGTTCCCGTTGCCCCTTATGTCGTCCAATTTCAGCACCCTCTTCCCCTGCACTGAATCGATGTCCACCAGATATGGTGCTCTGAAGAACGACACTGATACCCCGTATTCCTGCATCAATTAAAATATACTTAGAAGCAATATATTATATTTATGCTGATTATTTTATTTAAAAGATTTTTAGAATTCTATATACCCCTTATATTCCATATATGTTTTTATATTTTATTAATGTATTTGTTTTTATCCACAATCATGTTATTATTTTCGTGTCGTTTCGTCTCTACTACTCACTGACAGAGTTTACTTTCGACTCTAACGCTGTTGAGAGTCATATTTTCGACTCTAACTTTATTAAGAGCGAGAGAGTCATATTTCCGACTCTAACTCTGTTGAAAGCGAGGGAGTCTTGTTTCCGACTCTACCTCTATTGTGAGCGAGCAAGTCATGTTTCCGTCTATAGAGTGAGCGAGTCTTGTTTTCGACTCTAGTTCCGTTGTGATCACTTTCGGTCAATATTGACGAATTCAAATTCGTACGAAGAAGATTTTGATTATATCTTTTTCGTTCACTTCTTACAAACTCAAGTTTGTTCCATCATATGTTGTTTGAAGAAGAGTGTTAAAATATATTTAGAAACAATATATTATATTTATGGTACTTATCTTATACAAGAGATTGGTAGAATTTAGGATTCTTGTCTTTTGTATATAGATATAAATATACATATTTTTACTATTGAAATAGAGAATTTTAATTTCATATTTTAACATTATCTGATTGTGTTTGTTGTTTTTGTTCAAAAATATACATACATACATACCAGGAAGCGCACGGTGTAGAGAGGGTCGCCGCCGGTGGGGCCTTGAATAGGCGACGACGGCGGCAGCCCCGCCGCAATCATGCACACCAGCGACTGCCATTGGTTCCTCCCCAACGAATCCCCCACGAACATCACGCTCTTCCCTCTCATCCTCGTCGCGAACTCCACGCCATTGAACCTGCACCCCACCCCACCGCCATTGATGAATTAATTAATCAATTCACCTGACCTACCCCTCTCCCTCTCATATCAGACCTAGATTACTCCAGATTCATTTTCAAAATCCAATTGAATTAGATATATAAATCGAGGAGAGCAGAGCAGAGGAGATGATACAAACACAACACTACCCTACTCTGCTCTGCTCCATTCATTCGGATCGGATTTTGGTGACCTACAACAACTAATACTAGTAGGAGTATTATGTAATTATCGACTTGACTGACTGACCTAGGGATTTGGCAATTTTCAGGCTGCCAGCGATACTTGAGATAATCGGTGTCGGGCCTGCCGAACATCTGGCAGTTGAATTCGGCGTCGATGAAGGGGCAGGTGGAGGACTGGTAGATGGGGGTGTACGTCTCGTCGCGGACCCAACTCCCCGTGAAGAGCGCGCACGAGCTCTGGTTTCCCCGAAGCATCATCGGCCGGCGGTTACTGCTACTGTGGCTGCGCTGCTGCTGCTGCTTCCTCAACCCGACCAACACCACCGACGAAACGCTCGATTGCAGCAGCAGCAAAACAAGGCACAGCAAAAAAGGTATGGTAATGTCGCAAGTTGGAGGCCATTTTGGGGATCCCATTCAAGGAAGGAAGGAAGGAATGACTGAAGAATACTGCAGATGCAACTTTCAGCTGTAAAGTGGCCCAAAAAGGAGACACACCAGAGAGAGAGAGAGAAGAGAAAAGGGGATAATAATGTATGGTGGTTTTTCTATGTTTGTGTATTTTCCATGTTCGTTATATAAATAATGAAGAAATGGTTGAAATTAATTATATTATTATTATTATTATTGAATTAAAATCGGTGGGCATGTGATTTGGGGAAGGTAGCTGAGAGGGGTCACGTGTGACTCAATCTATTGTATTCTACTATTAAGTTTTATGTTCTGAATCTCATCTCTGCCCTCTCTGTGAGAGGAGAGATTTCTGGTTTCCAATTTAATTTTGGATTTTAAAAACACGACACTTCTCTTCACCGTCAGAATCCAATTCTCTGATTATATATATTTATTTATTTGAATGCGAAAATGTGAAACTATTGAAAATAACAGTATTTGTTTTATTCCAAAGATTTATAGAATTATAAAAATACGGTATCAAAGTAAAGTTTTTTTTAGGACATATCCTTGTTACATAGTATATATTAATATTGTTGAGGATGGAATTTCATCAAAATTAAAAGTAAAATTCGAAAATAACTTTAAATTTTTTAGACGCATTTGATATTGAAAATCTCATAAATAGAAAATCTAATTATATTAAAAACAAAGAAGACTAACTGAAAAAACATAAAACGGTGATGCATGAGATTATTATTATTATTATTTTTAAATTCTGTTGATTGAATATGTATTTTTTAATATGCATTTGTAATACGGAGAATGACTTAAATAAAGACTTAAAATACCATCTTCAACGGTCCATGATCGGTTACATTATCGTATTTTTAATCGCAGGAGTTCTTCACATCATAGCTTTCAAATTCAGGACAATTATAACAGACTAAGTCGGATACTCATTTATTCAATATAACTGAATTGTTCGGTCACTAGTAGTGGTGTCCGATTAGTACCCTTGATTGGTCGCTCAAACATATGTCAATTGGTCGGTTGTCTAAACATTTTCTCTCAAGTCGATCACTCACACTTTTTCGGATTACCTTGACTCTTAGCTTATTCCAAATGGGTCGTAGACTTCAATTTTTAGGGCTTAGCAACTTGCCCCGTTGCCCTAATTTCAACCTTCAGGTCTCGATTGTTGTGAGGCATGACTATTGAAATTGTGTTATTCTCTATTTCGAGACTGTAGTAGAAATGATGACCCTTCGGCTGTCAATCTCATTTCATTTTAAAACCTCAAAATCATACTTGAACGCTTTTGTTTTTTTTTTTAGTCCGTCCCACATAAGATGATTCATTTCTATTTTTGATAAATTTAAAATTTTAAACATATTTAATAAAGATAAATCAATTTAATTAAATTTTAAACTTCTTACATGGGACCTATTCAAAACTCCTATATTTTTATCTTTCTTTCTCGATAAATAAATATTTTTATCTGTATCTAAAACTTCTCATTTTTTATAAAATTAATTTATGTTAATTATAGATAAATAAATGAAGTATATTTTTATTTATTTGTATTAAATAAAAATAAGGTTGGGACCAAGATTAAATTCTTGAGGTTCTTAATCAACTAGGTTGGGTATCAATTTTCTGTTCTATCTTATCTGTTTTCTTTCTCGAATTTCTTACATTGATTAAGGTTATCCTTCTTTAACCTAGAAAAAATATACAAACTCACACGGGTTACGTCATTTTGGTATCAGAGCTAGTTAGCTCGAGTTCCTACACTTGAGTGTTACTCTTTTTCGTCTAGAAAAAATCTGCAAAAGAAAAAGCGAAAAAAAAATTAAAATTACAAAAACTTGGGCTAATATAAAAACAAAACACTTGTTTGTTTGCTCTATTATAACTTCCGTATTTCCCATCATAAGTATTTTTTTTTCTTTTTTTTTTCAATTTCATTCTAGTTTTTCGTAGTTGCTTAACTCTTTGGATTTTTTTTGTCACATATTAGGAAGTATTCTATTGATCTAATTTGTGCTTTATGTAAGACGGAAAGGTACAATAAGTGAGGAGTGAAACACGAGAGTTGTGGGGGCTTATTTTATATCTAATCTATACATATTTCCATATTATTTTTTCTAATGGCAGGAGAGGAGAACACACGGATTCAAAATGTAGATGTTCAAAGCCTCTTGAACTTGGTAATGAACCAACTGAATGAGTTACACCATTCTACACTCGAGGTGCTTAATGACTGCATAGATAAGTTGGAATTCAACCAACAACGGCAAGGTACTCCACATGGTTCCAAAGACATTGACAAGGAAAGTTTTCGTGAACGGGGAGTTAGAAATAATGTCCGTTGAAGAGAAGTACCAACTCCCTGACGTAATCTCCGTGAACCAATGAGGTACGAGAGTGAATATAAGGATGAAGAAGAAGAGTGCAATAATGAACTCCCATGACGGAGGCCGAATAACCCCCAAAGTATGATAATGAGAATGCACCACCCGTTAAGTTCCAAGTTCCGTCATTCAATGGAAAATATAATCCCGAGACGTTTCTAGAATGGGAGCATAAGATGTAGTTGATTTTTGACGTGCAACAACTTTTAGAGCAACAAAATTTACGTGTTGTTGTCATGGAGTTCTTTGACTATGCTTTATCATGGTGGGACCAGACCAATCTCTCACGACGTAGACACGGAGAGCCTCCCTTGCACACTTGGAATAAGTTGCGAGGACTCATGCGGAGAAAATTCGTGCCGCCACATCATCACCGTGAAGTACTAAGGAGGTTGGAAGGTTTAAAGCAAGAATCAAGAATCAAGAATGGTGTATGAATACCACAAAGAGTTAGAGATGTTGCTTAAGCAAGCTGATGTTGACGATGATCATGAAAGTATTATGGCTCGTTTCTTCAACGGGCTTAATAAAAAAATTGTTGATGGTTTGGAGATGTACCATTACATGGATTTTGAGGAGATAATGCACCAAACCAGCAAATTGGAGAGACAATTGAAGAAAAAGAATAAGATGTACATACACCAAAAGACGCTGCAGCCAAAAAACATATCAAAGCCGCAAACTTCCTCAACAACACATGAGGGGAAAGAATCTGCCATTCCTGCATCGTCACACTCAAAGGGTACGATATCTTCTCCAAATAATGGATCCACAACTCGCACTCATGAGTTATTTTGTTTTAAGTGTCAATGAAGATGAAATTTTGTCAATCAATGTCCTAACAAGAGGACCATGATCATCACTTTCACTAGAGATTATGTATCTGAATTCGAGGAGGACATGAAGGAGACGAAAGAGATCAATCTGGAGGATGATGAGTCAATAGCCAATAGTGGACTGACGTTGGTGACCTGCGAGCTTTAAGTACCTTGCGAAAAGTGTCGAGGACATAGAGCAACAAGAGAACTTATTCCATGAGATATGAAATGTGGGAGAAAAGGTATGTAACTTGATAATTGATGGAGGTAGTTGCACTAATGTTATGAGTGACATTGCAGTGAAGAAGTTGGGTTTGAAAACTCTTGTTCATCCGAAGCCGTATAAGTTATAATGGTTGAATAATTGTGGTGAGATCAACATTCTCAAACAAGTGAATTTGGAGTTTGAGATTCAAGTCTACAAAGATAAAGTGAGGTGTGACGTAGCCCCGATGCAAGCTTGTCATGTGTTACTTGGACGACCTTGGTAATTTGACAAGAAGGTATTTCATTATGGATACCGTAATAGGTTGACTTTATCCTATCTTGGGAAACCTATTACTTTGAAGCCATTGAGTCCAAGAGATGTGAATGAAGATCAAAAGTATTTGTACAAACAATATGTGATGGAACAAAGTGAGAAGAGGGCTCAAAAGAATAGTAAGAAAGTCCTTGTAAGTAAAGCTGATGAGACAAATAAGTACATTTCAAACACCATTGACCCACATAAAATGTTGAACAACTTTCTTTTCAAAACTCTTTTAATCCCTCTTCTTCAAAAGTCAAACACTCAAATTCTAAAAACACAAGTTGTGTGAGTAAATGAGATACCGACAAATCTTCTATACACGAGAGTGTGATGATTGACTTATTTGTTAGTAGGAAGGAGATCAACCAACTGGAAAATGGAGTACATTGTTTGTTAATATTCATTAAGCCTTCACATTTGTCTTATCAAGATATTAATGTTCTTCCCTCTAGCATTACTAACTTGTTGCAGAATTATGATGATGTATTTCCCGAAGAAGTACCTTGTGGGTTGCTTCCAATTTGAGGAATTGAGCATCAAATCGACCTTATTTCAGGATCTTCTCTTCCATACCGACGAGCATATAGAGCCAATCCGGATGAGATAAAGGAAATCATAAAGCAACTTGATGAGCTGTTGAACAAATAATGGGTTCGCAAGAGTCTCAGTCCTTATGCGGTGTCCGTACTTTTAGTGCCAAATAAAGATGGAGGTTGGAGGATGTACGTTGATTCTCGGGTTGTCAATGCTATTACGGTAAAGTATCGTCACTCAATTCTTCAATTAGATGATATGTTAGATAATTTGAGTGGTTCAAAAATCTTTTTCAAAATTGATTTGAAGAGTGGGTATTACCAAATTCGTATAAATCAAAGTGATGAATAAAAAAAACAACATTCAAAACCACATTTGGTTTGTATGAATGGCTTGTTATGTCATTTGGACTAAAAAAAGCCCCGAGCACTTTTTATGAGGTTGATGAATCATATTTTGAGGAATTTTATTAACAATTTTTTTGTTGTGTATTTTGATGATATACTCATTTATAGTAAATCTACTGATGCACACACAAAATATGTTAATAATGTAATTGATGTTCTTCGAAATGAGAAGTTGTTTGCTAACTGCAAGAAGTGCGAATTTTATATCGACAAGTGCAATTTCCTTGGTTTTATTGTAGGAAAAGATGGGATTAGTGTGGGTGAATTTAAAGTGAAAGCAATTCAAGAATGGCCTACACCGATGAATGTAAAAAATGTCCGGAGCTTCCATGGCCTTGCGAGTTTCTACCAACGATTTGTGCAAAACTTTAGCACCATTGCTGCCCCATTAATTGTCATCATGAAAAAAGGATGATAAGTTTGAATTGGGAAGTATTTAACAAGATGCTTTTGAAA